CAACCTAGGTGCCCCTCAATAGAAGAATGGTTAAAGAAGGTGTGGAACATATACACATTAGAGTTTTACTCAGCGGTAAAAAACAATGACATCTTGAATTTTGCATGCAAATGGATGGAAATAGAAAACGCTTTACTGAGTGAGGTAACCCAGACCCAAAAAAGAGGAATATGGTATGTACTCACTCATAAGTGGATTCTAGCCATAGTTAAAGGTCTTTGAACCTGTAATTCGTGATCCTAGAAAAGCTAAATAAGAAGGTGAACCTGAAGAAAGTCCAGTTACCCCACTTTATGGAAGGACACACTTTGTCACATTGAGAGGGCTGCATCTTCATCTCTTCCTTTAGCACTTGAGCATCCTAATGGCAAGACCAATGTCATAATCAAGTTTTCTTTCAAATGCCAAGGTCAGTGCCTGACACAGAGCAGATGTTGCTGAAGATTTTAATGGGTTTTATGTAATCCCTTTAAAAAAGCTTTTTATGTGGTCCAGACTCATAATGATGGAGCAGACAATAGTCATTGTTCAGTAAAGAAACCAGCCTGAGCTATTTATTTGAAAACTTCAAGTGATCCGAAATACATTGCTTAAGATATTTTTCTTTCTTTCATTTGTCAAACATAATTTTCATTGAAACCATGGGAATTCCCCATCATGTACCCCAATCCCCCTCATTTCCCAGTCCCGCCATAAGAGTTCTTCACCCTTGTTATGTCCATCCAAAAGGAAAGTTTGAATAAATATTAAAAATAAAAATGTAAATAAGAATATTAATTAAAAACAAACAAAAACTGTAACATGCTTTCTTTTGAGCCACCACACAGCCCCCTGATCATGGCACAGATATTTATTAGTTTTGAAAATTCACCCTTATCCTAGTTCTTATTCCTGGCCAGCTCTTATGACTTAGATTGTCCTGTTTTTCTTCATCTATGCTTTGCCTTGGGACTTTTTACCTTTCTCTCTCATTAGTTTTCTCTCTTGTTTCTCTCTCTTTCCACATGTCTTACATTATTGCTTCTCTTATCTGGCTGGTGTCAGCTGCCTGGCTTCTGGTCCCTGGCATTTCCCTGCCTCTTTCTCCCTCATTCTCTTCCTTCTTCTCCCGAGTCTAGATTTCTCCTTCTCTTATTTTCTCTGCCTGCTGGACCTGACTCTCTTTCTTCTAGCTACTGGTCATTCAATTTTTATTAGCCCAATCATGTGCCTTAGCCAGGTAAGGGGAAGCAAATGTAACACATCTTTACATAATTATACAAGTGCAGCTCAGCCAAATGTGACACATCTTTAGGTCATTAACAAAGACAGCAGAAATAAATGCAACACACCCTTACATCGTTAAAGTGGTGTTCTGCAGCATAAAACAAATGCAACACATCTTTGCTTCATGAAAATAATAATCCACAACAAAAAATCACTTCCCTCCTCCATCTTTCCTGCCCCTCATCAGCCTCTTCATTCATGTTAGTGGTACTTGGAGCTGCAGTGTATCATGCAGTAGACCATTTTGTCCAAACAGCTTTACTTGAAAATGTTTTTTATATCATGTGCTGTTGGTCAGCTTCAAGGATGCTGGCTCCTGGCACATATCAATAGTAGACCCTCATTGAAACTACTCTTGCCTGTTCTGCTGTTACCAAAGTCATGAAGATCCTGAGTCTATGGTTCTACAGGACTAATTCCTTTAAGGTTCCAGTGGGTTATAGATGGGATAGATGTTGGGGTGTGCCAACTCAAAGCCCTGGATGTGTGTTTGAGGGTTAGGGTTAGCTGAGTTGGTCAGTCCAGACTGCTAGGACTACCCCCTCAGATGAGGGGCAGAGCCAGCTCTCCCTCACTTGCGGTGAGGGGTGGGGACCAGCTTTCTCAAGTGCATGGGGAGGAGGGCAGCTCTCCCATGATTAGTGGAACGAGTTATACCATGTCAGGGTCTCCTATCCCAGTACCTGTGAGGGGCAGGGTCAGCTTTCTGGTGCTGGTGGTGGGGCTTTCTCCCAGGACCAGTGAGGGTATAGGGGCAGCTCCACAAGGCCCTCATACTTCAATACACAGTACATCACATGGTTCAACACATGATTCATATGGCTACTGTGGTAACACAGGCAAAAGACATCAACAGAGACCCTAGTTGCTGTAGGATCATGGACCCAGACATGGTCATGAGTAACAGGTTGGGTCTGGTTTTCACCATAACCCTATGTGGCAGTTCAGGCCTCTCCGGTCAGCATAGGCCTGAACTCCAACATGGCCCAGATTCCAGGCAGTCACGCAGTCCTCAATGGTGACAGGAGCCACAGACATCAACACACACCCTGACTGTGGTAGGGCCATGGACCCAGACATGACTCCTGACTAACAGCTCAGGCCCTGGTTGACTAACAGCTATGGCCTGGTTGGCACTGCAGGCCAGCTCAAACTGTGTGGTCCCTGAGGCACTATGGCCCTCAGGCACCAACATGGCCTCAGCTGTCGGCCCAGACCCCAGCCATCTGTGTAGGCTTTGGTGGTAACAGGAGCCATGAACATCACCAGAGACATGGGCCTTAGCAGCAGCCCTGGCTCAGATATCACCATGGCCCCAGGAGGGAAGCAGGCCACCCAGACAGATCTGTTTCTCCACAGGACACGAACCATTCTGCCTCTTTCTCTTTCCCATTCCCCACCATATATTTGCTTACCATAACGGTGCCCAACCTTGTGGTATCAGGTGGGACGGTGATTTCTTTGACTTGCCCAGGCCAACCAGCCCCAAGTGGTTGTGCGGGTGTTCTTCAGGCACCTGACAAGCCTGTGGTTTCTTTGACCAGCCCGGGCCAAGTGGCTCTAGGCAGGTGTCCAGAAATCTTCCTTATTATCCACTTTTTCATACTTAACTTTATCAAGACTTGTTTTTTACAGTCACTGACCTCAAGGAAATATTTCCATTTGGATGTTCTGGGTGGATAAGTGCTGGAAATGACACATGCTCATCTTCACTCATAAGATGAGATTAGGTTCACTCACTAAACCGAGAGCTGAGGATATGCCTTCGCTCTTTCAGCTGAGAAAGGTCCAGGGAGATAGGGCCCATGCAGAGTCAAGCCCTGGACCTTGGGGCCAGGCATTACAAACAATGATCTGGAGTATGGAGCAGAATGACATAGCAGGGGTGATGAATAGGGCAAAGAGCCAACAGGACCCAGGAAGCATTGAGTAAGAGGTTGCAAAAGGCATGTAGTAGGTAAGATGCGGTAGACAGATTGGACTCTGTTGGAAGGACTAGCGAGGCATGGAAACAGCTTGCGATTCTCTTTTAAATTTTCAAACTAACAGGAAACTCCTGAAGGGCCTTCAGGAGGGAACCATTTTCATCACGCCTCCTTTGCAGGAGGTACGGGAAGACACAGAGATAAACCTGGAAGAAGAAACGGCGGTAAGGTTTACAGGATGCTGTGTTCTCATCTCATCCCCCTTTCAGTTAAAAGAAAATTTGAAATGAAAACTAGGGCTACAGCATGGGAAAGAAGAAGGGCACCGGCGGCAGAATTGGCTGATGCTGAGCAGGAGGAGGTGGAACTGAGGAGGCCCGGTGCTGTGAATTAGATGCGATGCAATTTGACTGGAGAGTTGAGTCTTCTAGACTCTGAAAGACTCACAGTCATCAAGCGGTGTCATCTGAAGGTGATGGGAGAACCCAGGATGCTGCTGAATGCCTCTCCTTCCCCGTGTGAATTTCCCCATGACTACTGAACACCTCTCCTTCCCCGTGTGAATTTCCCTATGACTACTGAATGCCTCTCCTTCCCCATGTGAATTTCCCCACGACTACTGAATGTCTCTCCTTCCCCATGTGAATTTCCCCACGACTACTGAATGCCTCTCCTTCCCTGTATGAATTCTCCCATGACTTAGAAACCCTGTCTAATCCCTGATTACATGTAATCTTTCAGGGAAGAACACTATTGACTATTAGACTCATTCTTTCTAAAAGTCCAATCAGTATTATTAGTACTTGGGGGTAAACTGAGGGACAGCTCTCCACATTTTGCTGTCACCTTATTGCATTAGCCAAATTTTACACATCCTTTATGAATTGGAGCCCCTGACCGAAGACCTTGTCTTTGATGAGAAATTTCTTCTATTGCTTATGTGTTTAAATTTAACTCCCCAAACTCAGAGATTAAATACCACTGTGTAAAGAGTCTCCATTAATCACCACAGAGATCAAGTCACTGAAGGCAATGACAACATCTTCTGGAGACTCCTGGGCCTTGGGCTGCTATGGCATCCTTTTCTTCTCCCGCCAAATGCAAACATTTATCTTGTGTGACCAGACGGGAATGATTCTTCAGTCTCTGCAGATTTATCACTGGCCAGCTCAGTGACAAGTGTATTATTTACACAAAATTTATTTCCACGCTCAGTACTTTTACCCTCCATTTAAACTAAGGGAAGATTTTTCTCTACTCAAAAAAAAAAATTTGTTTTTGGAAAAGTGGTGGGAAAAAAACGAGGCTTTCTTTTCTCCTTTTTTTCTTTGTTTTTAAGACTTGACTTTGAGTTCATGGATTTGGACAAAACAAAGACTCGAGGTTTGGTAATTAGTCTAATTAATTAGGCTTGACAATTTAAATTGCAGTAAAAGTAATATTAAAGGCAATAATAAATTTCTGTGGTGTGTTTGCATCAACTTCAGCAACAATAGAGAAATCAGTTTGTAAATTATAAGACACTGCATAAATGTCACATATCTGTAAATCTGAAGGAGAAGGAAACATGGAAGGATTGGAGAGAGGAAAGGAAAGAAAGTAAAGGTGTAATTAAAATCTCAAAAATAAAAAAAACTAAAATAAACGTCGCATATCAGAATCATTCAGTGACATGGTGTGCATTTTAGTCTCTAAGGGAAAATGTCAGTCCTTTTCTTTTTGATCTGTGTGCATATTTATTATTCCTTGACTTAAAATATTTGTTGAATGCCTACTTGAGAGCAGCATTGTACCACAGTCATGGTTGACAGGGAATATGACAGTTCCAAGATAAAAACGATTCTAAGGTAAGAAAAGATATTACCATCTCCTCAGAAAGTAAGCGTAACTTGATGTGGGTTAGGCTTAGGGATGCTTCAGTGTAATGATTCCCTATCTCGGTTGCACAACAGTGGGGAGCCTGTATAAATACCTTCCTATTGAATCGTCACGTGTGAAAATAGCCTGCGATATCTCTGTTCTGCTTTTGTCCTTTGTTCTTTAGAGGAAAACTCCCTTGGAGAATTCGCAGGCAGCTGACTGTGTCAGTTCCTTGCTCGGTGCATGACCACCGATATTGCAGGCACAGAAACCCAGTGAAGACAGTGCTCAGTGAAATGTGACTGCTGCCTTGAGGATGGGCTTCTCAGAGCAGGAGAGCCTTGACGGTGTGGAGGAGAAGAGGTTTGTACCTGAGATCCATTTCACTGCCTTGAGTGAGGCCACCTTTGTGCCTCCAAGGTCGGTAACCACGCTCCAGGTGAGGACTTGCTAGTGTCACCAGGGGGGTGCTGACTCTGAAATGCTATTCCTTACCAAGCCCCACATATGACCTCCTAGGGACTATCAAATCTCACCGTCAGATATCCTCCCCTTTGGAAAATTTCCTTTCGTCTTATGACATTCATTGTTTCTCTCCTATTATAAAAATACATGATTGTTATAACATGCTTGAAAACTTTTTTAGAAAAATCACAAGAATGCCATGAAAAGCACTCAGATGTTATATAACTGTGAGAGAAACTGCTTTTTTCCTTTACGCATACAAGCACCCAAATGTCTATATATTTTCCAAATCAGCTCTTTATTGGGATATTATTGATGACATGCTGCTTTCTTTCTATAAGCTATTGGGTTAAAATTTTCTTTTAGAAATTACCTTTATTTTCTTATTTATATGTGTTTATTTGTTAGTGGGGTTTCCACCTGCTTGCAGGTGCTCACAGTGGCCAGAAGAGGGCACTGGATACCAAGGAACTGAAGGCACAGGCAGCTGTGACCCAACCAATGCAAGTGCCAGGATCTGAATTCAGATCTGGAAGAGCAGAACGTGCTCTTAACCACTGAGCCATTTCCCCAGGCCCCTCCCCCCAGACCCCTCTCTGCATCAGATGTTTTCTTGCCATGAAATACATTTTTGAGCCTCACAAAAAATAAGTATTTGTCCTATTTAGGGCCGAGTATTTGACCCTGAGGTCAACGAATAATGTATTTTTAAATATCCAGTGCTGGTTAAACTTAGTGGGTCACAAAACAAAACAAAAAGACATGGATGTGGGAAGGGATTTGTAGTGGGGAAGGGGAGGAATAGGAATGGAAGAAAGGTGAGATAAAGTGAGGGTTCCAATAATCAGAACGACATACATACCTGTGTGTATGTATGTATGGAATTGCCAAAGCGCCTTTAGTAAACGATACAATTACTTCTTTGTCTATTTCTCTTGTGAGGAACTATGGTGACTGGCTCTGGCAAGGGCATGTGAAGAGCTTGCAAGTGACTTTTGCTTTGCACCTCACAACAAGAGAAACTCCCCAACAAACCAAAAGATCAGCTGTGCTTCTTAGGCTTATCTGAGAATTGAAGTCTCAACCCTGGAGAGACTGGGGAATCGAAAGACTCTTTCCGGAGATCAGTTTGCCAGAGCCAGAGCTGCTGGGCACAATGACTGGTAAGAACAGTGGAATGATAGCTTTAACAAATCCCTGGAGTGTGGACTAGCTGGAAAGTTCAAAACTCCTAGGGACTCAGTAGCTTGTAGACCCCCAAACTTTAACAGGTTCTTAGCTCCAAGACTACCCCTGGTTTCTTTCTTTGACGATTACGGGTGGGGAGGGCATTACCTCAATTACAAGGAGAAAGGCAAAGTTATGAAATACTAGGATCCAAAGGGCTGCATTCCTTAGGTCCTAAGTTAGTTAGGGCTAACTAGGGTTTGCTTTGGTGGGGGAAATATTTCTAGAAATACTTCTGCAAGTCCAATAAACACTTCAAGAGATCACAGGGCAGCAACTAGACCCACTAAAACCCTGACACTTAATTGCACTATTGCAGGAGACTTCCAGTCTCTAATGTTTTAAAAAATCGCCACATTACCAGACTCCAGTAAAATAATGAAGTAGAGCAGGCTTCAAGAGTTGGCCTAAAAAGGAAGTTGCAAGGAAACCCAAAGACAACATGGTCCCAGACCACAAGGAACTTACATGAGAAATCAGTATCAAAAAGGCACTGTGGAGTCTCCAACACTTGCAGATTAAATGGGGTATATTTTTTAAAAGCATGCAAATCAAAGATGTCTCCAGAAAAAATAGTTAAAAATATCTTGAAAATTCAATTTATCACAACTTTGAGGTGCAGGAAAAACATTGAGAGAGAAATGTGTGGCAGTGGGTCCGAACTGGAGGAGGAACTCTATGCAATACTGTTCATACAGCACTTACGGCCCAAAACACCGACAAGAATGATGCTGGTAAGGGAGAGAGGAACAGGAGTTCTTGTTCATTGCTGGTGGGAATGTAAGATGCAACAGCTGTCTTGGAAGGATGATGTGATGGCTTTGTACACAAAAGATACTCTTGCTATCTGATCCTTGCTAGTTATCAAAATGATTTCAATTACCAAAACTTATCTCCACAGAAAAGTAACAGGCGTTTATGGCAACTCCAGTCAACATTGTATGAAGTTGGACCAATCAATCTATCTTCTGCTAGACAATTAGATATAAGTAACACAATCCTACTTGGTGGGGAAAGCATCTATGAGCTATCATGACCCTAAAATACACAGAGAGACTTTAGTAACATATTTAAGTAAAGTAGTAACTTGGGAAATACTATATGTCGCATAGGTTCCTATTGTATGGCATCCTGGAAAAGGCAAATTGAAGAGAGAGTAGAAAGCTTGAGTGCTAGGGTCTTCAAGGATGGTCCCAGGCATAGAGTCCGCATGGTTGGTCTTCCCTCATCACCTGGCCTGTCTTCACAGTGTAAGCCCCACTTAGACCCTAGCAACCACTGCCCTGAGTGTAGGCATGCATTTCACGGGCAGGTAAAGAACAGAGAAATTTCAAAGCAAAAGAGTGAATCCCTTCTGCTCAGAATGCTTGATGAATTCTCCTACAAGGACCATGCTGGACCCCATCGGGCTTGATATGGAGATGCACTCATCATTGTCCATGGTCCGCTTCAGAAGCTGGTGGTTCAATGACGCTTTATGCAACTACCCACACTGAAGACACTCCTGGCTCGCACATTGTGCTTTTGTCACAGTTCCAACTCAGGAGAGCTCTTTTGTGAGAACCCCAGTTGTCCCCTCTACCCCGGGTTTGTAGGATGTCATTCTAGTGGTGTTAAGTGTTTTGAAAAACCAAGTCACTCTCTAACTTCTGTTTGTCCTCTGCTTAAGGTTTCTATTCTATGCTTCTTGTTGTAATTAGAAGCATGCAATGAATAATTACTTGTATTCTTTCTGTAAATTATCATTCTTTTTAGAAGAACCTATATAACCAATCTTTTTATTCCTACAGCCTGATAGAGTGTGAGGAACCTAACAGATACTTAATGCTTATTTCTTGATTAAATGAATGTATTTTTATTGAGTTACCTCACGAGGTTTTCTATTTGTCTTAATATCAGATAAACTCAATAGTAACAAAATTAAATAACTCTTTAAACACACACACGCACATGCACACACATACTTAAGCTTATAAACATATCTGAGAACATCTGTATTATTATTTTATTATTTATTATTATATTAATGTATGCACAATAAACCAAGGCAGGCAATGTGGTCTGCCATCCTGAGTTTCATTCCTGTCTTTTACTGTCTTTTTTTTTAAGCAGATGCATTATTTATATGTCAAGAACATGTGTGTTGGAGTGAGGTTTAAAATGTCAGACTCCAGAGTGATTTTTTTCTAGGCTGCAGAAGACTAGAAGAAACACGGGAACAAATGTTAGCAGGCCATATCTTTTGCCTGCTTCCTTCCTATATGAATTCCCTACCTTTGTGGCAATTTGTGCTTCTCCTACTCTTGTGCAGTTCTGCTTGTCTTCAGATTCCTTCTGATCAAGCTCCAGTCTATGAAGGATGAATGCACCTCAAATATTGTAATATAGATAACACACCCCCCTTCCCTCGAATAACTCTATAGCTTTCTGACATCTTCATATAGACAAATCCAGTTTGATCTACAATTTAAGAATATACAAGCTTGTTTCTCAGCCTAAATGTAATGTCTGTGGAGGTTCAAGGAAGCTTTCTCAGGGCCTGTTTCTCCCTTACAGCTTTCCTTACTTTGAGTCTTGATGACAAACGGAATAGTGATGTCTCAGCTATCCTAACTCTCTTGTTGTCAAAGAAACAGGCCATGTCCCTTCTAAGTCTCCTGTTCTCTTAATTTCTCCCTCCTCTTCCTTTCCTTCTCCGTATCCTTTAAATTTTCTAGTCCTCTCAACGTCTTATCCCCATTTATTTATATCTCAGTTGAAGCCCAGTGGTTTGGGTGCAATTTATTTATTTATTTATTTATTTTTCAGAATAATTTTCTAGGTCTACAAAAACTTTTATTGTTTGAGTATAAACTGTCAGTAAGTTTGGTATATTTTGGGAGACCTGTATAATTGTGATTCTTATTGAGTGTATAAGCCACAAACCATTCCTTTTGTGAATTGTTACTGATTTTTAAACCACAAGCACAGGTAATTACATTTGCACACATAGGATCTACCTTGCTAGACTTATTCCGCCCCAAATCCCAATCCTGTGTAACACCTTCTGCCACGAATCCATCATACTTTACATTGACTGTGCCCTCATTGTTCTATATTAATAGATTTTGTTGTTTGAGAGTCAGGACAGGGTCAGATATATTGAAGAAAAGACAATTTCTTAATCGAAGAGGCTTATAAAGCCAAAAGAATTGTTTGTGCTTTGTTCTGCATGTCCATTATGTATCGGTTGGGTCTTTGTTTCTTGCTTCCTTGAGAGACAGGCTCAGGAAAGCCTTCATTGCTGATGATGCCAATGAACATGGAAGAAGGAGAAATGATTCTGGGAGGTTTCAGAATCAGCAGTGAGAAGTAAGACATGTAACTTTCTCTAGAGGCGTCAGAGGTGGAAGTGGTTTAAGCAAGGAATGTCCTCCGTGGGCTCTTGCATTTTGTAAGCACCTGGCACCCAGTTGGTGGTGTTTTCGGAGGTTCTGGAACTTCTAGATTATGGATTCCTGCTGAAGGAGGTGTACCCTGGAGGTAGGCTTTGAGAGTTTATAACCCTGTCCCACTTCCAGTTCACTCCTGCTTCCTAGGTACAGGCAAAGTGTGCGGATCCGTCAAGAGTCCAGCTCCTTCTGCCGTACTTGACCCCACTATTATGGCTTCCAGGCATCTTGGACAAGAATCCAAAGCACACTTTCTGCCTTAAGTTACTTCTGGTCATGATAATTTTTTTCTCAGGAGCAGAGAAGTAACTAATACACTTTTCCTCCTTAACTGTAATAATTTTATGTCCTTGCCAACAACGTGGAGGATAGAAACTGTAATTCTATTGTGTAGCCATAGACACTCCGTGAACTGTGCCAAAGATAATCGCAGTATGATTATGTTACTAATATAATAGTTCATAGAAAAGACTTGCTGTGTAAAACAAAGACCTCAGGAATGTTCCTACAAACATTAAGAAATGTCACTGAATCTGTTGTTGCTCTTTCCCTAACTATACTAGAATGCCATGTACCAGATAGGTCTCTTTTCCAGCCTGGATTCAAAAAATAAGACAGAGAGCCACTGCAGCCAACCTATATATCAACCTGTAAGACATTTGGGAAATAAACTTCTGTTATAAGACACCAAGATGAAGAGTTATTTGTTTTTAAAAGTTGTCATTATTGTTGTTTTACATCTTCTCCACAGTTTCCGCTCCCTTCTTTTGCCCTAGTCTCTCTCCCCACCTCCTCTCTGTTTCCTCCTCCACTCCTCCTCCATTTCTGTTCAGAAGAGGGCGGGCCTCTCATGACTATCAACCAAACATGGCATATCAAGTTGCAGTAAGACTGGACACCTCCCCTCGTATTAAAGTTGAACGATGTGACCCAGTATGAAGAATAGGGTTCCAAAAGTCAGCAAAAGAGTCAAGAGACAGCCCCCGCTCCCACTGTTAGGAGTCCCCCAGGAAGATCACATTATACAACTATAATATCTATGAAGAGTGCCTAGGTGAGTCCCATGAAGGCCCCCTGACTGTCGGTTCAGTCTCTGTCAGCCTCTAGGAGTCCAGGTTAGCTGATTCTGTGGATTTTCTTGTGGTGTCCTTGATACCTCTAGCTCCTCGAATCTTTCCTCCCCTTTTTCATAGGACTCTCTGAGCTCCACCTAGTGTTTGGTTGTGGGTCTGCACCTGTTTCCACCAGTTGCTGAATGAAGCCTCTCTGCCTACAGTTGGGCTGGTCCCCAGTCTACCACTATAGTCCAATATTATTAGGCAGATGATGAGTTATTTGTTATCACATTATTTAGTAAACAAATAACTGGTGCAGGAAGCTGACTAGTGCAATAGTTTTGAGATTCAAGATAAAGAACCATCAAAAAGTTCTAATACAAAGGTTGAAGTTTACTAGGATTATTGAATAATGTGAAAAAAATCAAGATTCACATGAACTGAGAGGCC